ACTTCTATTTTCAAAACCTTATTTATATATATATAAAAAGATTATATTATTGGGTTTTCTTTGAAATTCTTTATTTTAAATGGTCAAGAATCTTATGCAATATTTCTAAAGATTTATTTTTACATATAAAGTTAGGTTGACAAGACTTATCTAAAATACTTTGAGATTTTTGTTTCTTGATCTCCTTGCTTTAACTTGACCTCTTATTTTCTACAATTTCTTTGGTATCATCAAAATCTTTTACATAGGTTCTTCCACATCTACTTCAAGCCTTAGGCATGAAGCTGAAGTTGAGTTCTGCTTATCATCCGCAGACGGATGGTCAGTCAGAGAGGACAATCCAGTCCTTGGAGGATCTGCTGAGGGCTTGTGTGTTAGGCCACTTGGGAAGCTGGGAGGAGGTCCTACCGTTGGTGGAGTTCACTTACAATAACATCTTTCATCCTAGTATTGGGATGACACCGTTTGAAGCCTTGTATGGTAGAAGATGTAGGACCCCTCTATGCTGGTATCAGGATGGTGAGTCAGTGGTTGTGGGACCGGAGCTTATTCTATAGACTACTAAGAAGGTGAAGCTGATTCAGGAGAGGATGAAGACTGCTTAGAGTAGCTGTTTACAATTCATGTATTTATATATATGTATGTTGATTCTTTTCACTAGCTTACCCTTTGTTGTTTTCATGTGGTTTGGACTGTAATGATCATACTATGTATGGGAGCAGAGCAGGGTTAAGTTGGTGAGTTGAGGCAGGTCTGCAATTGGCAGATGGAGTTTATTCTTTTGTTGTTTTCAGCTTCTTAGTGTAGCATTGTTGGATGTATTTTGTATACTCTGATTCTTAGCCCCAGATTAGACCTTGTGTATTTTAGTTGCTCGGGCCGTTCTGGTTCTAGGTGTTTTCAAAAAATTGGGATCCATGTGGCATCTACGTGGCATCCACCTATACATCCACGTGGCATCCACCTATGCAACAGTTAACTCCGTTAAAGAAATTTAGACGGAAGTCCCACATTGAAACCAATTAATTTATTAGGGACTAAATTGAAACCAATTAATTAGTTTGAGACCAAATTGAGACAAAAAATTTATGAGGGACTACATTGAAACAAAAAAAGATTATAAGGGACCAAAATAGGTATTTAGCCTAATTTTTAAAGAGTTAATTACTTATACACTGTCAATATAAATTTTTTTTACACTGACAATTAATTATATTTTTTAATTGTGTCATGTCACTGTTAAACACAGTAACATGACATAATTAACAGATATAATTGGTTGTCAATGTAAAAAAAACTTTATATAGGTGATTAACTCTTTTTTAAAACACTTACTTTTCATTATTTTCCAACATGGTTAGCATATGAGAGGCCATTGTCTGAAGCCGATCGTGGATATATATTATTGTTGGACAGTGGTCTACAAGATTCCTTAAATCCACAAAATGGTAGGACTAGACTACCTTGAATTTCCTTTGGATGAACGATCCAAGGGGATCTTTCTTCCTCTTTTTTGATTATATTGTATTTTTGTTAAATGAATGTAATAATGATATGAGATTGTAATTTACAACATGAGTGAAAAAACCTTATTTTCATTTTAGGATGTAGAAGTGGAATGTGAACATCGATCACCGTTCAAACAATGCAAAAAAAAAAAAAAA